AGGCAGAGAGGGCTGGATCCAGGGATCTGGGGGTCTGTCCCACTGGAACCCCTCCAGGGAGATGGAACTGGCTCAGACGGGCCCTGCAGGCAGCCAGGGGCAGCACCGGAGGTCTGGTGTGGGGATCGTCCAAGCTATGGGAAAAACCTTAAAAAATCTCTCTGAGATCACCCAAATCCCTTCCAAAAATGCATCCAGGCCACCAAAAGCACCTGGAAACGCAGTGACAGGCTGAGCTGGAGCGGTGCCACCCGGCCCTGGCGCTCCTGAGCTCGCCCCGTTGCACAACATCGCCCCGGCCGCCGCTGCCCCGCCGGCAGCTTGGCATGTGGAGAAAATTAAGACCAGAACTCTGGAGCAGCAGCTCTTTAAAGCATGTCCCACTGCTTGGAGCCCTTCCCAGGGGCCGTGGGACATGGTTCTCATTCCTCTGCCTGGGCTGGGGTTTATTATTTTTCCCTCTATTGTGCAGAGTCCCCTTTATTCCCTGCATGCCTGTCCTCCGGGGCCGAGGGAAGCAGCGTGGTTTTCTTGTGCTCAGACATGGCTTGCTGCCTCCTCCCAACCACCCTTTTGTCTTTCAGACATGATCTCTAGGCCAAAAATAGATGATCCCTGCACCTTCCAGGGCTGGAGACACACAGCCTACAGGTGAGTGCATGGAGGGGCACCGGGCTGGCTTAATTAGAGCCCCTGATAAAGGGAGATGATGCTTTTAAAGGCAATTTTCTCTGTGTTTCCTGATGTTTCCAGTTGGGGCTGTCTGCCATCAACCCCTTTTTTGGGGACATGCTGCCCTGTGGTGCTGTCATCCCACTCTTGAGTGACCCAAGAGGTTTGGAAGTGCCACCAGGTCTGTGTGTGCTCGAGGGTCACAGGCTCAAGCTGTCCCTGAGGAAGGGGCATCTCTGTGGTGGGGAAGGCAAATCCAAGGGGAATGCCCTGCTTGGGATCCAGCCATGCTGCAGCCTCTCCCATTCTTGGACACATCTCTTTGCCTCATGGGATGAGAGAAACATCCTGGCAGAGAGAGTTGGGACTGGGATTCTTGGGTGGAAAATGCTCTGTAAGAGCCAGAAATTCCTCTGCTCTGAGTCAGGCTGGGTTCTCCTTTCCCCGGGTCTGCTCCTTCGCATCCTTGTTTGCAGTTCTGGTCCTGAATGAGCCACGACAGGCCCTGGCTTTGCAGGCAAATTCGTATTTAGAAACCAGAGGGCTTTATCCCCTGCAATTATTATCACTTGAATGTAGGTCGGCTTGACAGCTTAGGTGGAAAATCATCTTCAGAGCGTTCTGGCACTCTGCACTCACTGTCCTGTTAATCCCCACCCTGTTCCCACTCGGTTTGGGGGAGAAAGCTGCCTTTGGGAGCTGTTCCACCCGCGGAGGAGGCACTAAGGTGGGTCATAGAGGCGGCCGCCTCCTCCCAGAGCCACAGGAGGGGGCTGGGGGTAGATGAGATGGGGAGAGCAGCTCCCTCCTGATGCTCCGAAATGCCTGGGGGGAGATCCATTCATCCCTGCGCTCCTTGGAGGTGTCCATTCATGCCTGGTTTCTGTCCATCCCGGTTTGCCTGTCTGTCTGTCTGTCCCTCCCCACAGCTCTGCCTGGCTGCAGCGTGCTTGGGAGCGCCGGCTCTGCCGCATCCCTCCCGGGAGGCACCGCTCCGTCTCCGCCCGCTCCATCCTCACCCGCTCCCTCGGAACCTCCCCCCTGTATTTTTCCTCCCGAAATCACAACTTCCATCCTTTGAAAAGCCTCCCCCAGGCCGGACCCCCTCCCCTGGGCCAGTCCGATGAATGAATGGCTGGTGGCCGTGTGATGCCATTTCCATGGTGACAGATGGCAGCGGGAAATGCGGGGATCAGGGTCACATGAGAGCAGCGGTAAATTCAGGCAGTTATTTATAGGCTGCTGCTCCAGCGTTTATGGAAATGCGTCTGCCTTGGACCGTGCTATCAGCCCTGCGCTGGCTCTCCGGGGCACTGCTCTTCCAGGAGAGACATTACTCATGCTCTGCTTTAATCCAGACTGTTCCTGCTGCTCAGGCTGGTGTCGGAAAAGTACCGGGCAGAGGGTCTGGTTTATTTTTTTCTGAGCCTGAATCTCTCTGAATCAGCCTCAGCCAAACGCAGCCGTAACCTTCCCGCATCTGCCCGTGGCATCTCCTGTGCTGGTGGCTGCAGTGTGACAGGGCCATAACCTGAATTTTTGGTCCTGGAAATGTTCAAGGCAGAGCCCAAATCCTGCTTTGTCTCATCTGGTTTTAGCTCTGATACCTCTGGGAAAATTTCCATGCCTCGGTTTACCAACCAACACTTTGGTGATGTGTGGTGAACCAAAGAGGAGATTATAATCCACAGGGGAGGATTTGTGAGACCTTAAGGTGTCATTGAGTCAGCACACCTGCAGTAGGGTTATCCCTGCTCCCTGATGAGATGTGCAGGAGCAGGGAGCTGAGTGGCTGGTTCAGCCCCTCCTTCAGAAGGATCCTTGATTTCTCTTTGCTTAAGACCCCCTAATCAGGTCGCCTGATCTTCTTTCTGCTAATCTGGGTGTGAAGAGTTTGCTGCTGCTGGCACTTGCAGCCTGTGGGATCTGCAGCTCCCCTTCCCCAGCCCTCCAATCTCAGGCCCATCTTTCCATGAAGACAACAAAAATCCCCATCTTCAGAAACCAGAGTCAGGAAATCACGGAGTGGTTTGGGTTGAAGGGACCTTAAAGCCCATCCAGTGCCAGCTCTGCCACGGCAGGACACCTTCCACTGTCCCAGGCTGCTCCAAGCCCCACCCAACCTGGCCTTGGACACTGCCAGGGGTGGAGCAGCTCTCTGGGCTGCCCTGGACACCCTGTGCCAGGTTCTCACCTCCCTGAGGCATCCCTTGTTGGATTATGCCCTTTTCTGACCTTGTTTCTAGTTCCATTCCTTGTTTCTAGTTCCATTTCTTGTTTCTAGTTCCATTTCTCTCTCAACCATGTCTGTCCTATCCCATGGCTTTTTTAAGTCTGCATTTCTTATCTCAAGGTTTACATTTCTTATCTCAAGGTTTGCATACAGATGCACACTGTGTGAGCCTTCTGTCAAGCGTTGAGATTTCTCTACAAATCCCCAAATCCCCACATCCCACATCCCCTGCATGTCCCCGTTGTGGTCCTGGCTGTCTCTCCTGTCCATATTTCACTTTCCCAGCCTGAGCATCTCCTCCTTGGCTTCCCTGTTTGCTTCCCCAGCACCCAAGGGGTGTTCCACAGGGAGGGCTGTGCCACAAACACAGGAAGTGCCAAGTCTTTGGAGAGGTCACAAGGACTGACCACAGCCCAGAGCAGCCCCTGGCAGGCACTGACCATATCCCACCTCTCCCAGGTTGTCTTGGTTTGGAAAGACAGGTGTCTGCTAAGGAAGGCAGAGCCTCCCCTAAAATGCAAACCCCCTCCCTCCAAATCGCTAGAAATTTTAGGTTAAAGGGCTCTCAGGCAAAAATAGGGCTGGGAGAGGCACAGTTAATGGAGTGTGGCTCGTTCCTTCCCGGGGCAGAGGCAGAATTATGGCCATCGCTGCTGGCCCAGCTCCCAAGCACCTGGCAGAATTGATCCTTCTGTGCCTAATAGGCTGGAAAGGGAAAGGCTCCAAGGCCAGGAATGTGTATAAACACTGCGATCCAGGAGCTGAGGCAGCATGGTTTGGAGCTGGAGGTTTGAATCCTCTGGAGTTTGTCTCTTCCAAATGTGTTTTTCCTCCTATCAGGGTTTCTCTTGGTACCAGCAACACCAGCACCAGAAATATACTGGTTGGGAAATTCAGCCAGGCTCCATTGCTGAATGTGTATTTTCAGGACCAGGAGACTTTTCCATGAGATGCTGAACCAGAAATGAGTTCCTCTGAAAACTTTTCCCCTGTTTTCCCTGCAGTGAACCAACCCAGCAGCCCTGTGCTTTTCCTGATGAATCTGATTAGAGGTTTTCTGAGGGCAGCACTGAATAGATGGGGAAGGCTGAGCCCTCCTGGTGTCCTGGGCTCTGCTTCCCACACCAAGCATCCTGAGGAGCTGTGGGAAATTGGGCCTAAAAAGCTGGATTTGGGGTTTGCTCACCCTCAAGAGATGTTTGTGCAAGGCATTTCTGCCTTTTCCAGATGAATGTGCTGCTGGGAAGGAAAGGGAAGTGGTGTCCTTTCACCTGAAGAATTTTATTGTCTGCGTTAAAGATGGGTTAAAGGTGGAGAGCTCAGAGCAGTCTTCCAGGAGCTAAGGGGACCTACAGGGGAGCCAGAGAGGGATTATTCCTCAGAAATTGGAGTGACAGGACAAGGGGAATGGGTTTGCACTGAAAGAAGGGGAATTTTGGTTAGATATTAGAAAAAAATCCTGCCCTGTAAGGGTGGGCAGGCCCTGGCACAGGTGCCCAGAGCAGCTGTGGCTGCCCCTGGATCCCTGGAGGTGTCCAAGGCCAGGCTGGACAGGGCTGGGAGCAGCCTGGGGCAGTGGAAGTGTCCCTGCTACGGCAGGGGTGGGACGAGGTGATCATCAAAGTCCCTTGTAATGCAAACCATCCTACAAGTCTCTGACAATAAATCAGGGGAAAGGGGTGCCCAAACCCCCCAAACACTCCCTCCCCCAGGGGAAGCAGCAGCCAGCAGGGCCCTCCGGAGGCTGCTCTTTAGGGGCATTTTAAAGGGGTTTTATTTTCCCCGCAGCAAAACCAGACCCACTCCTTTGTGTCAGGACTCGATGCTACTTTTCTTTGCCTGCGAGAGCCTCCCTCGGAGCAGGGGGGGTGGCCCGGCACCCCAGCTTTGACGCGCAGCCCTGGTGACTCAAGCCTGCGTCAGGGGCTGCGTGTCCCTTCGCGTTGATTTTTTTTTTTTTAATTACTTCTTTTTTTTTTTTTTTTTAATTTGCTATCCCCTTTCCTTGATTTCCCGGGAGCCTCGCGGAGTTACCTCCCTCCGGCGAAGGCGAGCGGGGCCGGGCGAGCCCAGCGCGCATCCACCGAGCGGCGGCGGGGCGGGGGGGCACCGGCGGCGGAGCGGAGCCACCGCTACCTCGGAGCTTCACCGCGGAGCCCTTCCCGAGCGCTGCTCGCTTTTCCCGGCCGCTGCTGCTCCCGTTTGCCCGGCTCCCTGCAGCACCGGCAGCCTCGGAGCAGCCCCGCCGCCGCCCGCACTCGCTCCTGGTGATTTCTGCCGGGAACCTGGGGATTTCTGCCCGGAATTTGCGCCGTTTCCTCCGGGACCGGGCCAGTTTCTCCTGGAATCTGGTCGGTTTCGTCCTCCCAGGGAGCCGCAGCAGCGCCGAGGTGAGGATGCTCCCCCCATCCCCGCCCCGCCGGTGGCTGCCGGCCCCGGGTGCCCCCTCCCCAGCGGGGTCTTTTGGGGGGAAGATGCTCAGGGCCGGGGTGAGGTTAATGGAGGGGACAGCCCAGCCTGGAGTCATCAGGCGTGGCCCTCAGGGTGGTGTTATCCAGGGCTGGGGGGCATTTGGAGGCAGCAGACGGCTTGAGGCACTCCAGGGGCTGGGGGGTCACCGCCGGGGGTGGCTCTGGGTTCCTGCCCGGCTCCTGCTGCTGGGGGGCTCATCCCGTTTGAGGATGGGTGGGAATGCAGCCTCCAGGTTGACCTTGACAATAACATTGGGAGAGGAGAAAGCGTTGGGTTGCAATGAATATTTCAGACCTGGTCCCTGGAGTGGTGGGGGGTTTTGTCCTTTCTTTTATTTTTATGCTGCTTCTTAAGTGTGGATGGTTGGGTTTGAGGTAGAAAATGGGGCTTGGGGTCCTGGTTTTGTGAAATTCCCAGGATTGGGTGTGGGGAGCCCTTGGCCACCTCTGTGCACTCTGGATACACCCAAAGGTGTGTTTTTTCGGCTGGCCTCTCGGCCAGGTCCAAATTTCCATCATTCTGGGAATGTGGGGCTCAAACCAGCTGAGAAATCTGCTCCCAGCTCTTTGTAGAGGACCCAGAAGGTGAAATCCTGCTTCCTGGATCACGCCTTGTGTCTGAAGCACCTGAGGCTGGAATCCATCAGGAGCTGATGTAACTATTTCTGGTCTTGATAGGAAAAAAACCTGGAGCACCGCGGCAGCTGAGCTACTCTCGGCAGGGTGGAGAGTTCCTTGTGAATATTTCTCCAGAGGTGTCAGGACTAGGTCAAGGAACCTGGCTGGGGGTGTGACTGCTCCAAGGGAAATAAAATGTGGGTCTGAGCTGTCCGCTGGGATGGATTGGAGATGGCTCTGCTGAAACCAGCAGGGATAAAAGGGTTCAGTTTAAATCTGGAGTGACTTCAGCCTTGCAGAGAGCAGGAATCTGGAGTTAAACCAGAGCTGGAGTCACGAGGATCAGATTTACCCCAAATCAGATGCTGACCTGCCCACGTCCAGGTGAATTCATTGCCTTGGGAGGAGCAGCCCTGCTTTTACCCCATCCCGGGCTGGGTTTGGATTTGTTTGTTTACAAACGTAGCAGCAGCTTCATGAATTACAACAGGGAAAAGCAGCAGTCACGGCGGGCTTTGGATGCTGCCAGTTCATTGCTTTTCAGGATAAATCCTGGCTGGTTTGGGGCTCGTTCAGTAACCTTTGGCTGGAGTGGGTGAGTTACAATGGATCGCTGAGGTCTAAGTGCAAAACGATCATCTGGTGAATCAAACCGAGCCCTGAAGGGATCATATGATGGTTGCCTTTGCTCTGGTGTCACGTTATTGCAGCTGTGTGTGTTTTCATGCTACTGAATGAGACATGAAAGGGGCCCCGAGCCCATGAACCCCCGGGCTCAGCTTCGTGACAAACCCGAGTGCCAGGGCTGCTTCTCCCGTGCCCGTCTTGTGACCCATCAGTAAAACCCTTCCGGAGGTTTCTTGGCACCTCCTGGGGACAAGAGTCCCTGTACCGTCCCAGCTGTGAGGTGGGACAGGCCAGCCTGGGCTGGGCACAGCAGGCAGAGGAGGAGCAGGGGCTGGTGCAGCCCCAGCCCGCTTTCCTCTAGAGGAATTGGGGTTATTTATAACATCTGGGTGCTCACAGCCGCTGGGGTGGGTGTAAGGCAGAAGCGGGGGCAGCTCTGATTCATCAGCTCTCCTGTGTCACGATGCTAAAGCGGGACGGGAAGGACCCGGAGCGGCTCCAGCCCCGCGGGGGAAATGCCGGCTGCCCTCAGCCCCAGCCGGCCCTGGGATGCTTCTCGCAGGTGTCCCGTGCTCTGTCACCTTCTGACACCGACCCCATCTGCAGTTTGTGCCTCCCCAGGGGTGGGTGTGAGGAGGGGAGAGTCATCCCGTGTCCTTTGGCATGGGGTGGGAGCTGGGTGCTAATTAGCAGGGTTCATTTTAACGAAGGGACAATGAGAGCAGCCCTAATGAGCCCAGATGGTAAAACCCTTCCCCTGTGGAGCCGCAGGCCGAGCAGGGAGGAGCAAACCCCAGCATGGAGCAGATTTAAGATGGAGGTGTCTTGGACAAGCCTGGGCTGGTGGGAAAGGCAGGTTTGTGTGCTGGGGGCCGTGGGAAGGTCCTCGGAGCAGGACAGGGGTGGGCAGAGCTGCAAAAACTCTGCCTTGGGCAAAAATCTCTTCTTGGGGCTCTGAAGAGAAGTTTGGATGCTGTTGGGAGGGTCCTGCCCTTGGTTTCCTGTGGCTTGGAAGAGCAGGACACTTCCCAAAGGACCAGCTCTGCCAGGGCCATCCCCTCCCACCACAGTGGCTCTCCTGAGTTCAGGGAGCAGCAGGAAGGGGCCTGGGCTGGTTTCCTCATGACTTGGACCAAAGTGGATGTGCATCCAGGTCTCCTTCCCTTGGCTCTTGGCTGTGCAGCACAGAGGGAGGACAGGAGGGATCCGTGTCCCTCCTCCCGCTCTGCTTCCTGGTGACCTTGGATCTGTCCCTTCTCCTCGCTGGTCCAGTGTCCCCATCTCACCGAGCAGCCTTGCCCTGGGTGCAGTATTTCCCTGGCTCTGTGTGTGTCAGGGAGGATGAGGAGCTGCAAATTGATGCTCAGATCTCCCAGCCCCAAGCTGAGAGTAGATTTCCACCTCCCGAAATCCCTCGGTCCCCACTCCTCCCTCCTTTCCCTGCTCTGTGACCTTGATGGGGTGAGCTGGACCTTTCCAGGCCTGCTGAGCTGGATGCTTCACCAGGAACATCTCTCCCCTCTCCTTTAGGAGCTGTGGGGGATTTCTGTGGAAGCTGAAGGGAGAGAAATGGTAATGGTGGGGCAGGGAGGGACCAGCAGAGTCCCCAGGGGTTGAAATGCTAATTTTTAATTCACCCAATCTCATCTGGTGGCTTTTCCTGCCTCAGTTTCTCCTTTCTGAACTCAAACAAGGGATAAATGTAGAATTTGGACACAGGAGAGGAGAAATTCCACTGCGCCCCATCATTTGGACCCAGAGCACGTTTGCTGCCAGTGGCTGCTCTCCCTGGGTTCTGCTGTAAATCCCCATCTCCTCCCTGCCTTCCCCTGCTCTCCCAGGCCCAGCTGAAAGCTTTGCTGACACATTTCCAGCCTGTTTATTGCTCCCCAGCTGCCTTCCTGAGAAAGCAAGGATGGGCAGAGCCGGGACACGTGGCTCGGAGCCTCCCTCCTCCCCTGGCCCTTGGCGATGCTGCTGGCAGGGCTGGGGGTCTGGGGGGGTCTTCACTCATCCCAAATAGCAGCATTTCCCCATGGCTGCTTTTGGGATCAATGGGAGCCTCTGAGCAGGGATTAATCCCCCGGGTGTGACAAGGCAGGAGCTTCTCCATCCCGGCCCTTTCCCTGGTGGGTTAAATCCAGTTTGTCCCGTGACAAACCTGTCCCACGTGCCTTGGATCTGCTGCTGTGGTGGTTCCCATGCCAGTCCAAAGGGATGGGGTGCTTGGGGTCACCCTGTGCCATGTGGACATGGATGGGGACTGTCACTTAGTGCCAGCAGGAGCCCTGGGCACAGGGCTCAGGGAATGGTGGCAGCTGTCTGAGGAGTTCAATGTGAAGGTTTCCACTGGGACCACGGAAGTGGGAATCCTGCTGAAGGACACACGGAGCAGGAGGAGGTGAGTTATTCCCTCCCCTCGTAATGCCTGTTCAGAGACACCAGCCCTGACCACAGCACAGCCTGGTCCTTTCCAGGGTCCTGCTGTGGGCAAAGCCATGCTCCCTCTCTGGCTGGGTGGCACCAGCGCTGGTTTTACCTGGGCAAAGCTGGGGGTGCAAGGGCAGCCCTGGTCTGGCAGCACCAGTGAGGTTCTTGCAAGCCATGGGCTCTGAAAGACCCTAATCTGTCTTCTAAAGAGAGAGAAAAAATGCACATTTAAGAAAATTAAGGTCATGGGGACTAAGTAAACAAGCTGAATCTCCATCTGTCGGTGACAAGGGTTTTCTATCTCGCTCCAGCCCGGAAAGCTCCTGCTTGTCAGCTGATCTGCCTTGTCTTTCTCACAGGGTGGTTGTTATTTTTGGCAGATGATTTTTTGATTAAATTCCCTTTTCTACCAAAGCAGTGCACAGAAATACCTTTCTCAGATGGGTTTGGACTGTGCTTTTTCGTTTGGGGCTGATGCAAAAGGCTGGGGAAAGGAAAAGGAAGAGCCCTGCTGACCTCGCTTTCCCTGCCCGTGTTCCTGTGCTGTGTGGGTTGGTGGCTTCGTGCAGGCTCTGGCTGGGCTCATCTCCCATTCCCAGCAGGGATGGGGATGGTGGAGGCTGGGTGTGCTCATGGAATCGGGAATGATCCTCTCTCCTTCAGCCTGGATCTCTGCCAGGCAGCACCACCATGCCCAGGCTGGGGCTGAGCCATGGGGAGACAGCAGGAACTCCCCAAACCAGCCATGGGACACTGCCAGAGCCATCCAGGATCAAGATCTGGATCTCTGCTGTGGTTTTCCCCTCTAGCTTAGCTTGGGCATGGGCAGCAAGACTTGTACCTGTCCTTCAGCCTCCTGCCATGTTTAGAGAGCCCATCCCCATGCCCTTAAAGCAGCCAAGCAGCCCTGCTGATCCCCCACATCCTTTGGGAATGTTGCTCTCTGGAGTGTCCTCCAAGGCTCTGAGAGCCTCTGGAGCTTTGTAGGCGCTGGAAGGACCCTGCTCCTCCAGGATCCGTGTCCTGGTGCCTCCCAGCTCCTCAGAACAACTCCCGGGGACTTAAACTGAGGAGAGGGACAGGCTGAGAGCCAGCGGGATGCTGTGGGGTCTGTGCTGAGCCCACGGGGCTGGCCTGGCTCAGCGCCACCTGCCCTGGAGCTGGGCACCTCCAAGGGCTTGGGGTGTCCCAGAAAAGCTGTTTGGGTGCCCTCACCGTGGGCCACTGCGCTCTGGGGCTTGGCCACTACATCCCGGATCTCCTTGGCTCTCTCCCTAATCCTAAGAGATACTTTAGAGATCCTAAAGAGATACTTTAGAGAATCCTAAGAGATACTTTAGCCCCAAGCCCGACTTCTCCTGGTGCTCTGAAGGAGCTGCTGAGCAGACAGGGAGCAGCAAACAACCCGTGGGTGATTTCGCCAGGTCTGCACAAATCCACACCGAGCCCGAGCCAACCCCGATGGAAATCCTGCCCTTTCCTGGCTGCTGGGTGGGGCCCTTCCCGTGTTCTGTGCCCATCCCCAGCCCGGCTGAGGATGCTCCAGCCCCGGGCAGCCACGTGCCGGTAATTGCCACGATTGAGCGCTGAGCGGCTGGTGTGACTGAGCCCTCGTTAGGAAATTAAACATCGCTGGCCTAGGCTTATAAAAAATAACTCAAGCGGCTTCTCCGGAGGAGCCGGATCCAGGAAAGATGTGGAGCCGAGATGGTTGCCTGGCAACGGATGCAGCCGACAGTTGAAAATAGATTTTTTTTTTTTTTTTTTCATATAGGAACAGGGCCTGGCAAAGGGGGAACTTCCGTCAGGGGTGAGAAAACACCAAGGTGAGGGTGGGTGAGGGGGAGGTTTCCTGCTCCCGGTGCTTTGCTCCTGGGCTGGGATGGGGATGGGCTTTGCTGCCTGGGCTGAACACACTGCCCTGAAAAGGGATGGGATTGTGGGCTGAGCTGGATCAAAAATGTCCGAGAGGAAAGAAGAGCTGGGAATGGCTCCGGAAAAGCCCCCAGGTGGGAGGAGCTGCTGCCCAGCTGGGGTGGGTCAGGTCTCTGAGCACAGCACCACCATGGCCCAGCCTCCAGCCCGGTGTCCCCTGCGAGCAGAGATGGGGAGGACAGGAAAGAAGGAAGTGCAGCTCAGCAGGAGGGTCACTTTTCCAAGCTGAGGGATTTATTGTGAGAGTTCTGTGTTTTCTCCCCAGCTGGTGTTGCACCATGGTCCAGTCTAGGGTGAGCGTTGCCCATCTGACCCCAGTGCTCCCAGTATGGAGAGGATGGACATGCTGCTTTCCCAGTCTGGGGATCCCCAGCCCAGTGGAGCAGATTTCCACAATGTCCCCAAGATTTCTGAGGCAGGGGGAAGTCTGCAGGGCTGGGCTGGGTTCTGAGCATCTCCTGAGGCGCTTCTGTGCAGGATTGCTCCTCCTGACCCACGCTGAAGGCTGGAAAGGGAAGGTGCCAGGGTTGATGGCTTTGCCTTGGCTGCTGCTGGTTTTGCAGCTGTTATCTGTTGTAAAGCTGCCTGGGGAGATTTAGCATCAGGCTCCAAGGCTTTTAAGTCACTCCTGATAACTTCGTATGATGCAGAGATAGCCTGGGCGTTTGTCACTGTCCCCTGAGAGCTTCCAAGCTGTCATGGAGCGAAGCCTGGGCTGTGCTGATGGTCAGGAGGGAAAGGAGCAGGACAGGCAGGGCAGAGGCTGGATTTGGTGTCAGGCCTTGTGAGGTTCAGCTGCTGGGCTGGAGGGGTTAGACGGGAGAAGAGGTGTCACAGCGATGTGACCTGTCATCACCTGTCACTGTCCCCTGGAGCCCAGGGAAATTCCTCTCTCTGGGACACAGGAGGCTCTTCTCCATGAATGAGAGCAGCTGTGGCTGCCCCTGGATCCCTGGAAGTGTTCAAGGTTAGGTTGGATGGGGCTCGGAGCATCCTGGTCTATGGAAGGTGTCCCTGGCCTATGGAAAGTGTCCCTGCCCGTGGCAGGGGTGGGGTTGGATGAGCTTTAAGGTCCCTTCCCACCCAAACCACCCTGGCACTCTCTAATTCTCAACCAGAACGTGGCTCCTGGTCCATCATTCCTGGAGCAGGAGACCCTCCAAGTTCAGGTGAAGGTCCCAGGACACGGGGGGACGGACACCCTTCTCTCCTGGCGCTGCCAGTCCCACCAGCTCACTGGGGATACGACAAACCCAACTCACCCCAGCTGACCCCTTCCCCACGCAGGTCCAGCTGATGAAGAGGAGGTGAGGCCCCAGCTGTAGCTCCCACTCTGTGCTGTTCCCTGCGGGACGTTCACCCTCTTCCCTCGCCCGTCGCGCCCCGGGGCCGTCCCGATGCCGAAGAACAGCAAGGTGACGCAGCGGGAGCACAGCAGCGAGCATGTCACCGAGTCGGTGGCCGACCTGCTGGCCCACCAGGAGCCCGTGGACTACAAACGCAGCGTCCTCAACGTGACGGGGGAGGCCTGGGACAAGCAGAAGGAGGGAGATGAGGAGCTGGACGCCGAGAACCGGCCGGCGTGGAACAGCAAGCTGCAGTACATCCTGGCGCAGATCGGCTACTCCGTGGGGCTGGGCAACGTCTGGCGCTTCCCCTACCTCTGCCAGAAGAATGGAGGAGGTGAGAGAGGGGCAGGGATGGGATCAGCCCTTGGAGAAGGGGGTGTGACCCAATCCTGCCTCGCTGCGTGTTGGGGTGTGGATCCCCGGAGAGGACAGGGGTGATTTGGGCTCTAAAATGGGTTATTTGGTATCGGTGCTACGATGCCCAGTGGGTAAGAAGACTGCTGTGCAGAACTCCATTATATCAGAAGCTAATTAATTATTTTATTATATACTATATTACACTAAATTACATTATATACTATATATATATATACTATATATACTACATTACACTAACAAGAGCTATCACTATCTAACAAACTAAAAAACCAGTGACTCTCTGCCCAAGAGTCCTGACAAACACACGTGGATCCAGTTGGTCAAGGAATCCAAAACACCATCACCAGAATCCAATCAAGCAATCACCTTGAGTAAACAATCTCCAGAACATTCCACATGGGCACAAACACAGGAGCAGCAAATGAGATAAGAATTGTTTTGATTATTCTTTTCTCTGCTTCTCTCACAGCTTCTCTCAGGAGAAATTCTGAGAAAGCTAAATCTCTCTCTGCTCAGAGGGCATGTGAATGCCACAATTTGGGCTCTAAAGTGTGTTGTTTGGGCTCTGAAGGGGGAAAGGGCTGCCAGAAGTTGTGCTGAGATGTGGAGATCTCCAGGATGGCCTCTTCCTAAAGATTGTCCACCTGCCTCCAAAGTCACGGTGAACCCCAGGTTGGGAGCCAGGATTTCTGGCTGCTCCTCCTGATTCCTGTTGGGAATATTTAGTTGCAAGTAACATCAGCCCCAGTATCCCTAGAGCTGTAGGCTTTGTGGTTCTCTGATCCCTCACCCCAGCCCTAGTGGCAGCTTGGGGCTGTGGCTGAGGTCCCCAGTGTCACGAATGACCCAGATTGCAGTGATGGGTACATGGCAGTGTTGGCACAGTGCTGTGCTCCCTTTGGTGTGCTGTTTTCAGCCCCACCACTCTAGAGCTGTGAGGTTCTCTGACCCCTAACCCTAGTGCCTAATTTGGAAATTAGGGCTAAAAAGGGAAGAGGGAGCCGCTCCATTTCCCTGGGTTGTCAAAGCCACATTTTGTGGTTCCATCCCATTCCCAAATCCTCCTTGCAGCCAGCCCATTCTCTCATCCCAGTCCATGCCTCCTCCTTGGGTTTCCAAGAGCAGCCCAGAGGGTCAGGTCTCTCCAGCTGTGCTGAGCCCCACCACCCTTCATGACACTGAAGAGAGGGTGGGCTCCTCATCATTAATCCAACCTCAGTCCCTTCCCAGCCCCTTGGGGGGAGCCAGGACAGTGCCCCCATCCCCTAAGCTCTCTGTTCCCAGTGTTCCATCCTTTGCGTGGCCCCAGCCCTGCAGCTGCCGAACCTGCGGCGCCCTCAATAATTCAAACATCTCCGGTGTCACTGTCAGGATGAGTCACTGCCCTGTGCAGTCAGCACTCCCCTCCCGGGGCTGCTCAGCCCCATTCCCTTCCCTCCCATCCGGGATGGAGCCGGCTGTGCCTGGCTCCTGCATCCCAGCACCTCCCAGTGCCCTGCTTCAGCTCCAGCTTGGCTCGGTTTTGGCACAGCACAGCTCTTCACCCCAAATTCAGGGCTGGGAGAGATCAGTACAGCCCTGCTGTCTTCATTACAGCCCACAGCTGGCCTCTGATTGCCAAGAAAGTTTTCCCCACTAAATGAGATTTAGAACCAGATTTCCCCATTAAATGAGATTTTTTAAACCAGATTTAGAACCAGAGATTGGAGAACCAGCATCCTTCTTCTCTACAAGGATTAGCCCAGCTGTGCTTCAGTTTCCCCATGCCACAGCAATCCTTAATTAACCATAATTAGTGCACTCAATGAAAAATCCTCAGCTTAGGCTGAGCTCTCTGCTGTCCTGGGTATTTGGGGGGCTTTGGCCTCAGCTGAGCAGTGCTGGGTGATGGGAGGTGCCACTGGTACTCCCAGGCTGGTGTATTCCTCAAATCTGGAGCTGAACTTGCTGTCTGTATGTGGGGAGCATTAAAGGAGTGGTTTTGGACACAAGACCAGATGGGATGTGGAATGGGGATGGGGCTGAGGCAGCACAGCCCTGGCACTGCTGCAGCAGAGGAGATGAGCAGTGGGTTTGACCCACCCTGTGTTGGGACCCAGGGGCACCGAGCCAGGCAGGGACTGGGACAAGCAGCTGCTTTTAGGAGCTCCTTGCTGCGATAGAACATCTTTCTGCAGCAGGACTTCAAATAAAAGCTTTACAAGCTGCCCCAGCCATTACCACTATTCCATGGATCAGGAAACCGAGGCGTGCAGCTGGGAACTGGCTTGAGCAGCAGATTGCTGGGCTTTGCTGGGTTTTTCTTTTGCCCAGGTAGCACCATCTGTCTGTCCCACGGGGCAGGCACCGGTTCTCTGCCTTTTCCTCCTGCCATGTTTAACCCTCTTGGCTGGGGCTCCCACCAGGCCGTGAACTGCTGCCAGCAGGAGTTTGGGAGGGTTGGACAGACCTTTCCTGGCGCTCTGAGCAGCTCCAGGATGCGATGGCGGCGGCTGCTTTCTCTCCTGCTCCCCCAGCAGGTGTCTGCGGGGGAGAAAGGCTGCGTGCTGGAGGCAGGATGGGCTGGAGCCAAATTCCCAGGACTCGGAGTGCCGGGAGCCAGCAGGGGCTGGCAGCTCTGCTCTGGTGCTGCACAGCCGTGAGCTGCTGCTCACCTTTCCAGGCATCCCGGCAAGAAAATCTCCAGTACTGGACAAATTTGCATCTGAATATGTCTCATGTCCAGCTATCTGTAGGTTGAGATAGCCAGGAGAGTGCTGCAGAGATGGGATGCTCGTGGTCCTTCCTGAACTTCCCTGAGCTCCAGCTCTGCTCTCTGCCTCTCCATTTACCCTCCCACTCACCCTGGGCTGCTGCACCTCAATTCCTCTCCCTACCCCCATTTTTAACACACCATTCCCCCCATGCTGGGGCTGATCTGCTTTGCAGAGTCTCTGCTTGGAGCAGCACCCCCTGCCCCAGGTCCTGCCTGGGCCCAGCTGTCACCGGGGTGTCAATCCAGGCAGGAATTTCGGTTGTCTTTGGACCGTCTGCTACCCTGCAGGAGCTAGGCACATTCTCCTGAGCCCATTCCTCAGCTCCTGGCAGGAGCTGGAGCCGTTCCTCAGCCGGGCTGCAGCGTGAGTCATCGCATCCCTCACGGTCATCGGCTCTGCTTCGGGAAGCACCAGCTCCCCTCCAGCCCCAGCGTCAGACAGGCATTAACCGAGTTTCTAATCCACGTTGTTTCCACTCCTTGGCCGTGCAGGGTGGCACATGGCACGGTGATGCTGCAGCTGGGAATGTGGGATGGCCAGGGGGCTGTGCTGGGACAGGGGGCTGGGCTGTGTCTGGGGGAACAGGATGGCTCAGGAATGTGGCCATGTCCCCAGGGGTCAGCTGATGGAGGTGGTCGTTTGCACATGGTGTCTGGGTTTGGAGAGACAGGTGTCTGCTAAGGAAGGCAGGAGCCTCCCCTGAAATAGAAAATGCAAACCCCCTCCCTCCAAATTATTATAAATTTGAAATTAAGGGGCTCTCAGGCAAAAAATATGGGAGCAGGAATAGCAGTTCTTTACTAGGGAAGAAAATGAAAATAAAATAAACAATGCAGTAAACCAAAACAACAGTGACAGAGTCAGAACACAACGTGACACCCTGTGGGTCAGGGTGCTGGCAGCAGTCCCATTGGAATTGTGGCTGCAGCCCTCCTGCAGTGCCAGGGGTGGTTCTGCTGGAGCAGGGATCCTGTAGAACGGTGGAGTCTTCCTCTGAAGATCCAGGGGAAGAGGCAGCTGCTCTTCCTCTGGGAAATCCAGTGGAAAAGCTGCTCTCCTGTCCCAAAATATTAGATTCTATCCAGGTAGGAATGCTTGGCTCCTCCCCTGGGCGGAGCATCTCCCCATGGGATGCTGGAATTTGATCAGCCATGCAGGGACACTCAGTGGCCATGAACAGCAGAGATCTGCTGGAGGGAGGATTGGCTGTGGGAGAGATAAAGAAAACTGCCCCATGAACAGCAGAGAACTGCCCAGCTCTGACAGATGGCAAATAGAATACACATTGCCTTGCAATCCAGGACACGTGGAGATTTGTCTGTGTGGATTCAGGGAGTCCTTGGAGGCCTTGGTGTCAATCCCACATGATCCACACTGGCAGGGAATGCCACAGCCTTTGCTTCCACACACTTTTGCTCCTCTTCACAGCATCTGCTCTGGCCAAGCTCTGATCTGCATTCCTGGATCACAAAATCATGGAACATTTAGGTTGGAAAAGCTCTCTAAGATCATTGAGTCCAAACATCAACCCAGCACAAGGCCACCACTAGCCCCTGTCCCCAGCTGGCACACCCTCACGGTTTTTAAACCCTTGCAGGGATGGGGATTCCCTGCTGCCCTGGACAGCCTGTGCCAGTGCCTGACCATCCTTCCCATGAAGAAATTTGTCCCAATATCCAATCTCAGCCTCCCCTGGTACAACTTGAGGCTGTTTGCAAATGAACTGATTGACCAGGCAGAGCGTGCCCCAGCTCTGCCCTGCTTGTCCGCCCTTGTCCATCTGTCCTTGGCTGCACTGGAGCAGGGAGATCTAGAATGGCCTTTCTCTCCCTTCCAGGTGCCTACCTGGTCCCTTACCTGGTCCTGCTCATCATCATTGGGCTGCCCCTGTTCTTCCTGGAGCTGGCAGTGGGGCAGCGCATCCGCCGGGGCAGCATCGGCGTCTGGAATTACATCTGTCCCCGCCTGGGAGGCATCGGCTACGCCAGCTGCCTGGTGAGCGTGCCTGGGGACCCTCCAGCCGTGCCCTGGGGACCTTCCAGCCCTGCCTGGGACCCTCCAGCCTGCCCAGGGGACCCTCCAGCCTGCTCCAGGACCCTCCAGCCCCATCCCGGGACCCTCCAGCCCCATCCCGGGACCCTCCAGCCCCATCCCGGGACCCTCCAGCCTGCTCCGGGACCCTCCAGCCCCATCCCAGGACCCTCCAGCCTGCGCCGGGACCCTCCAGACCTATCCCGGGACCCTCCAGCCCCATCCCAGGACCCTCCAGCCTGTGCCGGGACCCTCCAGCCTGCTCCGGGACCCTCCAGCCCTGCCCTGGGGACCTTCCAGCCCCATCCCGGGACCCTCCAGCCCTGCCCCGGGGTCAGCGGGGTGAGGCGAACCCCGAGGAGCCCCAGGGGGAGGTTGGAGAGGTCAAGAGTTGTTGTTCCAGCTCCACCCATGGCTAGAGGGCTGGTTTGGGGGTGCGCCCCTGATCCCTGCAGCCCCGGAGGTGCCCTGGGGATATTTCACTGCCCTGTGGTTTGATGCCATGTCCTCCTCCTTCCTCCCCCCAGGTCTGTTTTTTTGTTGGTCTCTATTACAATGTCATCATCGGCTGGAGCATCTTTTACTTCTTCAAGTCCTTCCAGTACCCCCTGCCCTGGAGCGAGTGCCCCATCGTGAAGAACGGCTCGGTGGCCGGTGAGGCACGGGGGCTCGGCTGGGAGGGAGCAGCTCCCAGGGAAGGGGGGCTGTGGGGCCCTGTGGGACACATCATCACCCCAAGAGACGGTGGGGCCACAGCAGGCAGAGGTTCCTCTCTGGCCCAGCTGTCCTGACCATGTGAAGAGCTTCCCCTTGGGTTGGATGAGTGTCTCCGGTGTTCTCTCTCCCCACTGATGGGATTTGATGCCAGTTTGGGAATCCAGAGTCTCCACTGATGGGATTTCCAGGCTGCCTCAGTGCTTGAGGCCAGGATCTGACCCAGGACCATGGAGGGAGGCAGCGAGAGTCAGGCAGGGGCTGCTCCACTCCCTGCCTGAGACACGGATGGAGCTAATGGTGTTTTAGAACATCTGAGCATCAGCTTGGGACTCTCTGAGAGGTTTTATAGCAAATGAAAATGTCTCTCCCTGTATTTAACCTCTCATTTTCACCTGGCAGTAGTTTTATGTCCTGTCTCTTCTTTTCCCTGCTAAGAATGAGCCCCATTAATTTCTGCCCCTCAGTTTTCAGAGGTGTCTCTCTGTCCTGGCTGGCTCCAGCAGGTCTTTGACATTTGATCAGCCCAGGAGACAGTGGATGACTCCCCCTCATGCTCTCCTGCCTCTCTCCTGCAGTTGTGGAGACCGAATGCGAGAGGAGCTCAGCCACCACCTACTTCTGGTACCGGGAGACCCTGGACATCTCCAACTCCATCTCTGAGAGCGGGGGGCTCAACTGGAAGATGACCCTGTGTCTGCTGGTGGCCTGGAGCCTTGTTGGCTTGGCCATGATCAAAGGCATCCAGTCCTCAGGGAAGGTGGGTGTTGGTGGCCACCTGAGCCTGGCTGGGCTCTGTCCTGGAAGCAGGAACCTGCTGGACACACTATCCTGCCCTGCTCTGGGGTACCAGTGGAATGCTGTGTCCCCTGGGATGGTCACACCCACTCCACAGCTGGGGTCACCTCTGGAGTGATCTATAATAAGATCAAAAGAGGGTGTAGGGAAGAGGTTTAGTTCAACTGACACGTGCAGCCAGGCCTCGGCCACACCAGCACAGAGAATCCGCCTGAGCTCCAGCACTTCACAGAACCAGTTAGGTTGGAAAAGGCCTTCGAGGTCATCAAGTCCAACCTGTGACCCAACACCACCCTGCCAGCCAGGCCATGGCACTGAGAGCCACATCCAGCCTTTTATTAAACACCCCTGGGATGGTGACTCCACCAGCTCCCTGGGCAGCCCCTTGTGATGCCCATTCACTCCTCCTGTGAAGGTCTTCCTAATGTCCAGCCTGAAGCTCCCTTGGTGCAGCTTAAGGCTGTTTCCTCTGGTCTTGTCCTGGGAGCAGAGCCCAATGCGCCTGGCAGCGCCCTCCTGTCAGGGAGCTGTAGAGAGTGATGAGGTCACCCCTGAGCCCCCTCTTCTCCAGGCTGAGCTCCCTCAGCCCCTCCTCACAGCACTTGTGCTCCAGACCCTTCCTCAGCTTTGTTGCCCTTCTCTGGCACACCCCAGCAACCCAGCATCTTTCCTAAATTGGGGACCTGTAACAGGACACAGCACTCGAGGTGCTGCCCAACCAGTGCTGAGCACAGGGGAAGAATCCCTGCCCTGCTCCTGCTGGCCACACCATTCCTGATCCAGGCCAGGAGCCATTGGCCGCCTTGGCACATTGCTGGCTCATGTCCAGCAGCTGGGCACATTGCTGGCTCATTGCTGGCTCATGTCCAGCAGCTGTCCATCAGTGTCCCCAGGTCCCTTTCTGCCTGGGCACTGCCCAGCCACCTGTACCATGCTGCCCCGAGGGGTCCCACAGTTCATCCATGGGGAGCCAGCCCCATCCTGGGGAGGGAAGCGCTCCCTTCTCCCTGCTGTGGGCTGTCCATAGGTTGGATGGGAGGGTGGCTGGGCGCAGGGGGCAGGAGTTGAGGCTGTGCTGTGTTCATCCCTCTCGCTCCAGGTGATGTACTTCAGCTCCCTCTTCCCATACCTGGTGCTTGTTTGCTTCTTGGTGCGGGGGCTGCTGCTGCGTGGGGCAGTGGATGGGATCATGCACATGTTCACACCCAAGGTGAGAGTTCCAAGCCCAGCAGACTCCAAGCGGGTTCCCCTCCTGGCTGGTCATGTCCTATTTTCCCTTATTCTCTTACTGTTTCCCTTATTTTGCTCCCCACCCCGAAAATCAAAGTACCAGCCCCAAACTTGGAGATCCTGATAGATCATCAGGATGTGGAATGGTTCCCAAAATTCAGGGTGTGGCCAGGACAGCCATGAGCCTCACAAGCTCACCATCCTCAGCTACCCAGATGCCAGGGTGGGGCCACAGAGGTGCCCAAGGCAATATGTAAATACAAAGATTTAATGGAGAGCTGCTGGCTGGCAGAAAAACCTCTGCTGGTGGTATGCACTTATTAATTAAGCAGCTAATTAATTAATTAAGCAGAGATGTAGATGAATCAGCTCAGCCGGCGAGGCTGTTAGAAGACATTAATTATGGTCTCTTGATGAATGATGCTGGGAGGTCTCCAGGCTGCAGCTCTGGCTCCCAGGAGAGGGGGAGTGTGGCTTGGGGGGGACCACAGCTCAAACACCCCCCAGCCAGGATGTTTGATTTCAGTGCTCCAGGTGCTCTGGAAGCAGGAGATGGCCAGGGGAGGATGGAGACCCATCCCTGGGCATGTGGTGGTGCCTTGGGCTGGGGGGACACGGACTGGGGGGCTGCACAGAGAGAGATGGAACCCCCAGTTAGGCCTCTGGGGCAGGTGGAGCAGGCAGAGACGTGGTCAGGTCAAACCTTGTCCTGACCTCTCTGTGCCTGTTTCCCGCTATGTGTGAATGAGGAGAAGTGAGTGCTGGGCAAAGCCAGACCTGAGCATAGCAGACCATGGAATCATGGAATGGTTTGGGTTGGATGGGGTTTTAGAGATCATTTCCTTCCACTGCCCCACCAAAGCAGCCCACAGCTGCCCCAAAACCAGCTCAGCCCTTTTAATGTAGCTCTGGGATGGGCTGTGGGGCCACCAGGCCACCTAACTTCTTCTTCTGTCTTCCCTCCAAGCTGGACAAGATGCTGGATCCCCAGGTGTGGCGTGAAGCAGCCACACAGGTTTTCTTCGCCTTGGGCCTGGGTTTTGGGGGGGTCATTGCCTTCTCCAGCTACAATAAGCAGGACAACAACTGCCACTTCGATGCCACCCTTGTCTCCTTCATCAACTTCTTCACGTCTGTGCTGGCCACCCTGGTTGTGTTTGCTGTGCTGGGCTTCAAGGCCAACATCATGAACGAGAAATGCGTGGTGGAGTAAGATTTGCTTTTTCTCTGTTTGGGGTGGGCAGGTCTTTACTGCTGCCAGTTGTGGTGGGTCTGGAGCTGGATGATCCTGGGGTTTGGTGGACCCAAGTCCCTGATGGTCAGGCCCTGGGTTTCCAGGGATGTGCCTCTGTAGCTGAGGGAGTTGGACATTCAGCTCCTCTGAGATAAAACCCAGCCCCAAGATGGGCTCTTAATCTGCAGCTTGGGTGTGAATCCAATGTGTCTCAGGTGCCCTGCATCACCTGAGAGGTTCTGCTCTCCCTTAGGAACGCTGAGAAGATCTTGGGCTACCTGAACACCAATGTGCTGAGCCATGACCTCATCCCACCCCACGTGAACTTCTCCCACCTCACTGCCAAGGACTACCACGAGATGTACAGGGTGATCATGACGGTGAAGGAGGGGCACTTCAAAGAGCTGGGCCTGGATGCCTGCCTGTTGGAGGATGAACTCAACAAGGTACCTGGTGGCACTCCTGGTGGGACCAGCAGGTCACCCGCCCCATTGCCTCTCCCTGTGTCAATCCTGGGCACATGGATCTGGAAAAATAACTTTTAGAGACCCTCCAGGGATGGAGAATCTGAGTCACTATGGTTTTACCAGCAGGCAGGGGTCCTCCTGGGGTGGGAGAAGCTCTGTCTAGTACAGGTTGGTCATCACCAGTTCATCTCCAGTACCAGACTGGGGTTTTCTTTCCTTGAAGAGGGTTTGGTGAGGGAAACCTGAGAGGGGCCGAATTCTGTGTTCCTGACAAGTTTCTTCCCATCTTTTGGTCCTCTCCCCATCTCAACAGTCAGTGCAAGGGACTGGCCTGGCCTTCATTGCCTTCACAGAAGCCATGACCCACTTCCCAGCCTCGCCCTTCTGGTCCGTCATGTTCTTCTTGATGCTGATCAACCTGGGCCTGGGGAGCATGATCGGGACCATGTCAGGCATCACCACGCCCATCATCGACACCTTCAAGGTGCGGAAGGAAGTGTTCACAGGTGAGGTCTCTTCTCCTGCCGCCTCCTTGGGAAGGGCTGGGAGGTCCCCATTGCCTTGAGGAGTCACTCCAGAAAAGCGTGGACGTGGTTGGGGGTGAACTGAGCCGTGCCCATGCAGGGAATGAACCTTCTGGAGGTCCTGGTGTCCCCCAAGAGGTTCTGCTGACCATGCCCATGCAGGGAATGAACCTTCTGGAGGTCTTGGTGTCCCTCTGGAGGCTCCACTGACCATGCCCATGCAGGGAATTAACCTTCTGGAGGTCCTGGTGCCCCCCAGGAGGTTCTGCTGACCATGCCCATGCAGGGAATGAACCTTCTGGAGGTCTTGGTGTCCCTCAGGAGACTGTGCTGACCATGCCCATGTAGGGAATGGACCTTCTGGAGGTCCCGGTGTCCCTCTGGAGGCTCTGTTGACCAGGCCCATTTGCTCCCCACAGTTGGTTGCTGCATCTTCGCCTTCGTAGTGGGGCTGATCTTTGTGCAGCGCTCTGGAAACTACTTTGTCACCATGTTTGATGATTACTCAGCCACGCTGCCGCTCACCGTCGTGGTCATCCTGGAGAACATCGCTGTGGCCTGGATTTACGGCACCAAGAAGTAAGGAATTTCTACAGCAAAAGGAATAACTGTGGTGTAACTCTTTCCACCTCTTTTCCATATGGGCTTTTTCTCCAGGAGAAAATGTTCCAAGGGCAGTTATAGAGGCAGGAATTTGTTTCACTTTGATCCTCCTGCCCTGCCCTGGTGTAACGCAGCCCCAGAAGTGGATCCTTCTTGTGGGTATCTTCTCTTGGTTGTGATGCTCTGTTACTTGTGATGACCCTTTTTTCTGAGGTTTCTAGGTCCTTCTGGAAGGGGAGGCTGTTCCCCAACAGTTCTCCTTGTTCAGAAGTTGTCCAGAGCAAAGACAGCTCTGGATAACGCTCAGATGATCTTGTCCTGAGGAGTTTTGCACGAGTTTTTCAGGCTTGAGGGACGCTGAGATGGTCAGCTGGGTTCTTCTTCAGGCTCTACCTTGAGCATCAGCGGGGCTCCTGGGAGGTTGTTTCTCACTGGAAGCTGGGGGATATCACAATTCCAAGTCTTTCCTCGGCAGGTTCATGCAGGAGCTGACGGAAATGCTGGGTTTCCGGCCCTACCAGTTCTACTACTACGCCTGGAAGTACGTGTCCCCCATCTGCATGGCCGTGCTCATGACGGCCAGCATCATCCAGCTGGGAGTCAGCCCCCCGGGATACAGCGCGTGGATCAGAGAGGAGGTGAGCACAGCTCCCTCCCCTTCCCCACCCATGCCCCAGCACAGCACGGGCAGCTCAGAGCTGCAGACCACTCTGGTCATCCCAGCTCTGCTCCTTCCTCTCCTGCTGGGTGACATTCCCAACCTGCTCATCCTCTGGGAGCAGTTTGTTCACACTGCCCAGATATCTCCAGGTAGATATTTCAGCCCTGCCCGTGGGCTGAAATTTGTGTTGATTTTGATTGGCTCCCACAGCTCCATGCTGTGCCCAGAATTCTGTGTGAGGATCCTTTCCCTCGACCTGAGCCCACCGTCACGTGGTGTCCCTGGGTCTGGCAGGAGGCAGCAGGAGCTGTCTGGTGTTTCGGAGATGATGTACCTGATGGGCATCACTGCTGCAGCAGCCTCGAGACGTTAATGTCTGTCTCTTCCAGGCTGCTGAAAAGTTCCTGTTCTACCCAACGTGGGCCATGGCCATCCTCATCTCCCTGATCATCCTGGCATCCCTCCCTCTGCCTCTGGTCTTCATCCTCCGGCAGTTCCACCTGGTGTCGGACGGCTCCAACGCCCTCTCCGTCACCTACAAGAAGGGTCGCATGATGAAGGACATCTCCAACTTGGAAGACAACGACGAGACCCGCTTCATCCTGAGCAAAGTGCCCAGCGAGACGCCATCCCCCATGCCCACGCACCGCTCCTACCTGGGCCCCGGGAGCAGCTCCCCCATGGAAATGAGCAGTGCTCCCAACGGACGGTACGGGAGTGGCTACCTGCTGGCCAGCACCCCCGAGTCTGAACTGTGAGGGTTGCCTGCCCACCACCCCCACCGGGAGAGGAGGGCACTGGGGAGTGGATCCTGGCTGTCCAGGCAACAGGAAAATTAATTACTAAGGGTGGAGAAGAATTAATTACTAAGATGAAGAAGAAACCCCTCTTAAAATCGTAAGCAAAGCAGCCATTTCTAAGATGACGTCGGGAAGAAGGGATTGCAGGAGGGGCAGGACTCCTCTGACAACCCTCGGTGGAAAGGCAGGACCCCTGGACTCACCTCTGGGGAAGGAACGAGGAGTAAGAGACGCTGCAATACCTTTTCAAGAGTTGTTCTCGTGCAGCTCAAATCTGAAGCAAAGAATCTCTCTCTTTTCTAAGCAGCTGATGGTTGGAACAAGGACCTGGCAGCAGGTGGGAAGCCAATCACACTTCCTCCTGTCACCCAGAGCTCTTCCCTCCCCGTCTGTTGTCCTTTAGCTGGGAGGAGTCATGGCCTTATTCCAACGAGCACAATTAATCATCGATGTTCATAGCACAAAAAGGTGCTCTTGTTGTCACCATCGTTGTTGTTGTTGTATCTCCTGTAGGTTTTTATAGCTGTGGACACACCCAAATAACCCCCCAAATTCTGACCAGGGTTGGCAGGGAGCAGCATGGGGCTGGCTGTGATGTTGGAATGTGTGAGACATGGCAGGGTGAATCCCTGGAATCTTTGTTGCCACCAGCACAGGGACGGTGGCTGGGAGTTCTTTGGAAGCACGGAGATGTCACAGCCATGGGATGGAGTAGCTGGGATGTTCCATGGGTTGGTGGTGATGGTGCTGAGTGGCAGGAGGACCCCTGAAGTGACAGTGGTTTGGGGGCGTGAGGCTGTGTGGGGTCTGGGTGGGGTTGGTGTGATGGGGGTCAGGAGCGCTCTCCTGGAATTACTCCTGATGTGGGGGATGCTCTGCTGAACCAAAATCCCTGGCATGGTGATCATCTCCTCTCACTCCTCTCTCTTCAGATGTCCCAGAGGGACAAGCAGAGGAGCTGTGGGACATGCAGTCCTACCACACTCCTGGTTTAGTTCTCAGGAAACCACCCCTGACTTCCCTCCCTTGCCCCCCTGCTGAGGTGAGCTGGGCAGTGGTTCTCTCTGGACGTGCCTCCTCATTTCTCCTCGTGTCCCCTCCGAGCCAGGGGTTTGGCATTGCCTCCTGTCACACCCCACAGGAGCTCAGCAGCCTTTGGATGGGGGTGACCAGCTCTTGGGGACCACAGGCATCCGAGGGGCAGCGGCTCCTGGGAGCCAGTGCCAGGTCCCCACTAGCTCTTGATCCAGGCTGGGGAGCCCTTGTGAGAGTCCAGGGGCCTCTATTGTGCCCATCCATGTTTTTGGGGGATCTGACTGATGTGACCTCATGTTGTTTCTCCCCAGGCTGTTTGGAAAGGGTGGGATCTTCTAGCTCTGAGTCCCACTGGGGCTGAGGGTCATGTCCCTGCATCCTACCTGTAACCAAGCACTTCTGCCAAGGGTGTCAGGATAGCCTGGCATCGTCCCCCTTTTCCTTGGGGACACGGAAGCAGCACACTCCCTCTCCTCTGTTGCCTCCAAAGGCTGGTGGAGTGCCTCACCCTGGGTCCTGCTGGGCTTAGGTTGTGCAGGAAGACCTTTGAGGCCGCTCTGAAGGCAACGTGCTGGTTCATGAGCCCTTCTCTCCTCTGCTTTTCTGTCAATTGCTTTTCTTTCACCTTGGTCCTCCTTTTGGCTGGAGGTGAAGGCAGAAAGCAGCTGGTCCATTCACCACACCCCTGACATCCCTGGGGCCAGCAGGTTCCCACAGTGACATCTCTTGTGGGTGTGATCCTTCATTCACAGTCTGCTCCATGGACTTGGCTGGTGACCTGAAGACTCTTCCAGGACAATTAGCTCAAGCCCTTCATTAACTGTTTTTCTGTGGGGAAGATGGAGGAGTAGAATGAACCAAAGCAGCTCAGTGATGGTTCCAAGATCTGTGAGTCAGGATCAGCCACGCTCCTCCAGAAGTTCCCCCTTCCTCATCCCCTCCCATCTCTTTCTCCTTCCTCTGCCCATGCAAGAGGGACACAGAAATGTCCCCATGGCATCATCTCTGGAAGGGAGAGCCCCAAATCTGGTGGCATTTCCCCATTGTTAGGCAACATTTTCCCTCCCATTTCTTATGGGGTCCATCCTCACTGACCAGCAGGACAGAGGATGAGTCAAATCCTTGCCCAGCATCACCTCCCAACGCCCCCGAGCCCGGGGCTGGATTCCCACCGTAGCTCCCATGGAGTTAATGGAGCAGGACACCTCCCATAGCCAGAACGCTCAGTCCCATGTGCTCCCATGGCATGATGCTCCTTGAACCCCGGGGGGAAGGATCCAGCCCTCCCTCTCTCCCACCCCTGCTCCCAAACCAGCCGGGGAGGAGCTCGCTTTCCTCTCTTCTTGCAGCATCAATAAGAGGCAAAGTCAATAAGAAGGTAACGAAGAAACTATATTATATATATATATATAAAATATATACTGAGAGAGGAGATGGAATAATAACCTAGAGATTCTCTATTTCTATTGTATATTTATTCTGTAAATGTCACTGTAAATGCTGTTAAATGACAAATCGTATTCCAAAGTGGCCCATGACCTATTTTCATTCCCAGTGCTGTACAGATCAATTCTCATTCTATAGCAGGGCATATTTTTACCTTTTTATTTCTTGTGTCTGGTGGGTGCACGCCCCCTTCTCCCCCCAGCCCCATGGTGCCCAGCTGCCCTGGGGATCCAGCAGAGAGGAGGAGGAGGGACGACACCTTTACTTTTATCTGTGGAAATACTCGTGTTTTGTCGTGGCATTTGCTCGGTGTTACACACGGAGTTTTGGGGGGTGTGTGTGTGTGTGTGTTAGGTGTTAGGAGCTCCGTGTTGTCGCCGTGGCAGCGTGCGCGTGTTCGTCCGTAGATGCCGTGCGTGGGGTGCGCGTGTCCGTGTGCGTGGCTGCCTTTAGCATTCACTTCTGGCTCTACTCGCTCACTTTTGGAGCCTGTGGGGGGGTGTGGGGGTTTCTCCCGCTCGCCGGGGCAGGTTCTCCCTCCACACACCTTCTTGGGGTGCCAGGCTGCAGATTGGGCCGACCCCCAGTGGCTTTTAGCCCTAGAAATCACTTCTTTTCCTCTTTTTCTGCACAGAGGCACAGGGAATAGCTGCTAGTTGTGAGCACAGGCACTTTTCAGTTTTCCTTCAGGCGGTGGGACAAAGAGGGGGGAACCGCTGCCGATATCCCTGTCCCCCCACATCAGCTCCTGGATGGTTCCCAGCCCAGATCCTGCTGCTCAGAGCAGCAGGGTGTCCCTGCGAGGGGTCCAAACCCTGTTCCCTCTCGGGGGGAGGGTGTTCAGTGGGTCTGCAGAGGGCACAAAGGAGGTCGCTGGGGGGGCACACCCTGTGCTGCTGGAGCTGCAGGTCCCGCCTGCAGGACTGGAGTTGGGGTGCTCTGTTCCCCAGCACCGGCCTCTGCTGCAGGGAGCTTGGCCCCGGTGCAAGGCAGAGGGCACGACTGGAGCTGGGTCCCCAGGGTGTCCCACGGCTCCTTCCCCCCAGTCCCTCCAGAACAGCCCCTTCCTCACCTCTCAGCTCCTGCCCAGACCCTGACAGGTCACGTTCAGCCCCAGCACCCCCCAGAAGCAGCTCCCACTGCCTTCTAATGGCCCCCACCCTTCCCGACGCGGGTCTCGCTGGCAGGAGCGGGGCCGGGTGGCCTTGGTGGCCGGGAGGGACATGGCACAGCACGGGAACACGCAGGATGCGGCTGTTTCCCCTGGGACAAGCACAACACCGGCGAAACCCTCCTGTACAGGTAAAGCACAGAGCTGGTAGTGGCGTGTCCCGTGTCCCCGGTAGCCGCAGTAGTTCCCACGTGTGCCGGGCGGGGCCGGGCTGCGCCGCCCGGGCTCCTCGGACACCGAGAGAAACCCTGTAAGAGCTGTATCAGAGTCTGATTAAAAGTCTCTTCTTACCAAGTCTCTCCTCACCGAGTCTCTTCTGTGCCTCTGTTTCCTTCCTTGGGTGGGCTTTGGGGTCTCTCTGAGGTTTAGGGTGGCAGAGACAGAAAGCGAAGGGCCCACGGGTGTCGAGGTCTGTCCTTCCCTGTCTGTCCCACTGTTGTCCTTCTGTCTCCCCTCACCCCTTCCTCCACCCAGCATCTGCCTCTGCCTGGGCCTTGCTCAGAGCCAGCTGTCTGTGGGTGCTTCAGGAGCGTGTGGAGGTTCTTTTCCCTGCTGGGCCAGTTTAACCAGTAGCCCTTGGCTTTCCAGGGCACTGGGACTGGTCTGCTCCTCTGCACAGTGCCCTGCTAGCAGTGCTGCTGGCTTATCCTGAGTGCTGGGAGTCTGGAGAAGGACCTGGGGTTTCCAGCAATCCCAGATGACTCCGGCTGCTGGGAATTAGCTCAGGTTAGCTGGGGAGCAGAGCTGCCTCTTCCTTCCCTCCCATCTCTGCTGGCTTGTTTGGCTTCTCCAGGGCTGCTTCAGGGAGCATGAGGAAGGAGGGAAGAGATCAGGAGAGATGGATCCAGAGGAGATCCCTGCCCTGGGGATGCCACCACACATGGGGACACTGCCACGGCCATGAGCTGAGCCTGTCCCCATGCAGGGGCAGCTGTGGGGAGGCAGGGAAGGTCTTTTGGGCATCATCTGGAGATGTTGGTGCAGCTCTGACAGAACCAGAGGTCACAGCCTCAAGCTGCAGCAAGGGAAATTTAGGTTGGATATTAGGAAAAAGTTTTTCACTTAAAGAATGATAAAGTTCTGGAATGGCTGCCCGGGGAGGTGTGCAGTCACCATCCCTGGGTGTGTTTAACAAAGCCTGGGTGTGGCACTGGGTGCCAGGGTTCAGTTGAGCTGTTGGGGCTGGGCTGGACTCGGTGATCTTGAAGGTCTCTTCAACCTGGTCATTCTGTGATTCTGTGAATTCTGTGACTGGGGTAAGTGTCTGACACGGCTGGAGGAGCAGCACTGCCCAGGGAGGGGACAGGAGGTGGCAGAGGGTTCTCCGTGTCCCAGAGGACATCCAGGACCCAGCTCTGAGGGAAACATCCCCCAGGAGTGATGACCAGGACAGTGGGACACGTGGGGCAGCTCTGACCCCAGCACAGCCCAGGTCTGGGGGAGCAGGGATGGAGATCCCAGCTCAGGGCAATGCCAAGTGCTCCATGGGACACGTGTGGTGTCACTGCTGTGCTGAACCAGCTGAACTCAGCCCATCCTGTGCTCCCAGGGGCTGAGAGGGGCCAGAAAATCCCAGTGCCAGGGGCTTTCTGAAAACAGGTGAGAAAAACAAACTGGAGGGGCGATTCTGGCCCCTGGGGGCTGGAAAAATGACACAGAAATGGGCCCAAATGTGGGACTTAAGCCAAATACACTCTATTTTTAAAACCCCAT